CTTCGATGTGCTCTCGTCCTCCCTTGGATTTCTGGACAGGCGAGATCAGCTGCTGCTGGAACAACTAGTCCGGCGGCTCTGGGAGACGATCCTCTTCTACAGGAGCGGTGGGGCAAGGAGGTGCCGGAAGCAGCCGCGAGTCCGGAAGCATAACGAAGAAGATGGCCTTCAACGAGGTAAGTTTCATTGCTGCATGCCTCTATATCTTTCTATCTTGCTATCCCGTTCGGTCGTTCGATCCCGTGAGCTGACCTCGCGACCCCCAAACGCCAATTCTAACCTAACCTCCGTTCCTGCGCACAGCTGGCATGTTATCAACTCTCCCCTCTCCCTGCATCTCTTCATTCTCATCCTTTCTTTCTCTGTTTCTCCTTTCGTTTCTCTCGAGTCACCGTGTTCTTTTGTGTGCAGTTAAACGATCATGAAATCAAAATCGGAACGATCCGGTTATTCTTTAATAACATCAAGCTATACGTTTTTTAAATTCGTATTGCACGGTATACATTTCGAACGATATTGTACTATCATCTTTAGGTTATGATACGTGCGAAATATTTATCAAGGATTTTGCGTTCTTGAATAACAATATTCGTGTAATTCATAATAGTATTAATGTTTTCTTTTAATGAAATTCGTTTACCTTGAAAATCTTTTAAAAATATTTAATGAAAATTCATCGCAATATTGTTTATACTCTTTGAACATTGGTAATCAGAATTAATATTTGTATAATATTTATCATTATATTATGCAAAGAAATCACTTCGCGAAAGAAAACATTTTTACTATGGTTTGGTAAACAAATACAATATAGTGTAGTAATGCGAGAAAGAGATGAAATTTCGTGCTTACGTGTCCACTGCGACTATCACCGATTGTCTGCCTCGGTAACGTTTCTCTGTGACATTATTGCGTAACCATATCCCATAAAGAAACACGGGTATAGTGTTTCCACGGCAGAGAAGAAAAATAAAAAGCGTTTCAGTGTACTACCTGATTCATGCGTAAGATGATACATTAGAATAGCGCACGTTTCTGAACTTCTCTAGGATCGTTAAAAATCGTTACATCGTTAAAAAAAATTATCGTAAATGGATAGGACGTAATAAAAATACGTATGATAAATAGAGTGTTATCTATACGATAGTACATGGAATGATTCGAACCTCAACATTACATTTCCTTGGCTTTTTATCATCGTTGATGACGTGTAATCATGATTGCAATTATGTATATGCCTTTTATTCTATATGTTCCTATTTATTTTTGCTGACCATTCAACGAACAAAAAGAGCGCTGACCAGTAATTAATATACCGAGATCGCATGTCATCGATAGATAGTCATATCGTGCCATACGAAACATAGAAAATATGTATTGTAATTATACGCGTGATTAATGATTTTTTTTTTTTTTGTTCAATTGCATTAATTGTCACAGTTTCCGTATTACGAAAATATTAATACGATATTTATCTCATAAATTTGAGGAAAAATTATCACTGAATAATTAGTATTGATTTTAATTGCAATCATTTACATATAAAAAAAAATATGTAAAATAGATATTTAGGTACTATGAATCGATAATTCTAACGTTAAACGGAGTTGATTTTTAGCATTTATTGTTAGTAGCATCTTTTGACGTAATAAGTGGGAAGAACAGCGTTTATATACTTTGCCTCGGGCATTAATACCTGTGACTGTATCGCTTTGCGTGTATACACTTTCGCATACATGTGAAAGCTTATGCGTAGATCATTCATCCGTTCCACGTGCGCAATTTAAACGAGAAATTAATGAAAGAACGCATCACCGTTTGTCATTAATCTTTATATGCTACGATTATTTATTACGATTTTTTATCATTTACCTCGCAATCTTTATTTTCATATTGTAATTTGCATTACTTTGTCAAAAAAAAAATTTATTTTCGGTATTATTTCGATTACGTCTATACATTTAAGAAATTCGCGATCGCATTATTGAAAAAATTAAATAAAATCTTCATACTTTTGGGTGCATCAATCGAGGTGTAAAAGTCATCGTACAAAAAAAAAGAGATAAAAATGACAGCTCTTACAACTATGACATAGCACCTGCTACCCGGTTATATCGATCGAGATGGAATATATACAAGTAACCAAAGTGGGATTCCACCGTTGTTCTCCCTTCCACAGCACCCACTCGTTCGTTCACGATCATATGGCTTCTTTCTCCATAGATAATACGTCTACCTTTTCAATCTTTATTTTCCAATCCTCTTAAACCTTCAAATATCTCGTCACACCTTTTTAATTCCCGGGTTATTTTCTCACCAAAAGATCGTCGAACAAACTTTTTGAAGCCATTCGAACAAGTCGCGGTGAAAGTAAAGATTGTGGACTTTCAAAACAAGCCACCCGAAGTTTTTAATATTCCTATATCGATAATATACTCGTTAGTCAAAAGTCGAAAGTTGATTCCCACGGAAAGTTGGAAATAAAAATCATTTGCTAACGATTTAACATTTACGGAAACAAGAAACCCGTTGCTCGTAGACCAATAACATTTATGCATACGATTTAGATTTAGACGCATACAGTTGGCCTGTTATCGACGTGGTTATTCTTATCGTATTCCGGAAAGCCAAGCTCGCACCTCGGATCGTCGAAACGCGCATAAATATACGTGCAAACATTCGTAGCACACGGTATACGTGCATAGTTATCGGGCGCGTGTTGCAAACTTTATCGGCATAGCAATTTTAGAGATATATGCCTATATCTGTGCCACACGTTTGTATACGACTATACCGTTATTACGTAGACAGTAAAAAAAAAATGATGAAGTTTCGTTCTTTTTTTCTTCATTCGTCGTATAAGAAATCAGAGGCGTGGGCGGAAAGCAGGTTACACCGAAGATTCTTCGCATTTGATACCGGGCATTGATCGAAGAGATCTATCTCGAGGAATCTTATATTATTATATTTAAACGCGTTATCGCGTCGAGATCGCGAGACTCGTGAGAACCGTATACGCGAGCGTATACGTTTTTTAATTAACGTCGATTCGTGGATGTCAAGGATAATACGGGATAAAAGTAATTTGTGAACGTTGACACGAGTTTCGTGGAAAATGCGAGAGGGTTTGTCGCATCACGCGAATATACCCTCGCGAAATTAATTTCTATAATAGAGTTATCAACATCGGCGAAGATAGTCGTTACTATCGCTTACGTTACACAATAGACATTGTTTGATCGTGGCCTCGATGCAACGTATCTGTTCCTTGGTCGCCCCACGAGGGGGATATAAAGTATAGGCGCGTACCAGACAAATGCGTGCTAGATCCACCGATGTTTCGACCGAATCCGTGGGCGAGCATCATAGACAACGAAGAATTGAACTATGGAAATTGACAAAGGCGAGTACATCCGTGATTAAGGCTCTCGTCGACGCGGACAATGCGCCATTGTGCTCCATTTCCAGGTGTAATATCTACTTCCCGGTAAATTAAAATCTGTCGGCCCTCGTTTCTACGGAACACGGCCGTTTACGCAATTCCTTGTACGGTCGTGATGGGACACGATGAGAAACGTTGGCTGGATCGAACGAGAGATATCGGGAGAAGGGAAAGGGATCTAGGATAGCGCGATCGGTACAGCACGGAGGATATATAAGGATTGAAAGTCGCGACGAAAAATGCGATTCACGTTATAAAATTGAAATTTATTGCCGTTCCCTGCTCGCTGCCTTTGTGAATCTAAATCGTTGCGTCGTGACCACTGTCGTAAATGTAAAAAGAGGCGCGATGGGATACGGGAGTTTGTACGGGTTTACAACTCGTCCCTCTGTACAACTTCGCCCGTGGTGCTTGGCCGTTTTCCATTTTATTTTCGATAAAATATGCGCGGTGAAAAAGGAACAGGGGCGTCGCGAGAGTACGCATTCGAAAAACGGCGTTAAAAATTGGCACCATTGCCAAACCGAGACCGATCGTAATCGCTGAATAATGGCGATCCGCATTATTTTATCCGCCCGATGAAATACATCAGAGAATTTAACATTTATTCCGTGTATAACATTCACACAATCCGTGAAATCATTATTTCTCTGAAATAATTTATAAAGTAAGGGGAGGGGGGCCGAGAATATATCATTGCAGGCGACACGGAGTTTATTCCGCCCTACAAGTGTTGCCATAATTCCCATTCCGCGTGGGTAACCTCGTTCGAGACACAACGGTGCTTTAATTATCCGTTTTCTGGCCGCGATGTACGACGTATAAACACAAATCATACTCGAGAATCTCCTTCTCCTCTCTTTCCTCTCTTTTTCCCTCCGTTTATGAAAGCTCGGTGATTTCGTGGCGTGCAGAGGGCAAGGTGCATCTCGACCGCGTTCCCCCAGGTATCGTATTTTCCATAAAACTTTCGGATTGGAACAAGGCGCGCGGGAATTAATCGTGGCGGTGCATTCGGTGGGTTTCGTTCGCCCGTAAACGTCAGCACCGTGTTGCCCCTCGTAAACCGAGTAATAGCTTCGTGCTCGTCCACCCCCTCCACGTACACGCGTCTGCCCGTGTATGCGCGCACTCCGCATCCCCGTGTACGTGTATTTACACGCGTGCAACACCCCCGAGCGGGTCGGCTCGTTATACCGGTGCATTTATA